CTCCTCCTCCTCCTTCTCCTCCGCTTACCCCCCTGTTCACTCACCCAGCTTGTATTGTAAAGGAGATCCGTAATCAATTTCTCTTAGCCGTCAAACGATTTAATGTGTACCTCGTTCCCATATACAGGTAATGACCCGATGAGAATTTATCGGAAGCGCGCGTCCACTAGCCGGATGGCTTTCTGAAGCTGAGAAAGATGAAGAGCTTGCTCAATCGGTGGAATTGGGTGGCTGACGTTTCGGAGGGCTTAGTCGGCTCTCCAGGCAACAATTCGTCGTAGTTTGCTGCAACACAAAGACACATTGCCATCCACGGGAGCCTCAGAAGTTGTCTATCAAATAAGCTGTAACGATAGAGACTGCAACTACGTTGAGGAAACCGAACGGAAATTGCAAACCCGCCTAGGTGAACACAAACTGGCAACTCGGCGACTTGGTCAGAACTCGTAGCTCACAATCACAGCGGAGAAACTGGCCACAGTTTTGACTCTCAAGGAGCAACCGCCTCAAGCCGGGGCACCTAAAAGTCAGAATGTCTCACACTTGTGGCCCGGAACTCCGATGTCAACCACATTTACAGGCATCTAAACCTTCTTGCAGCGTATAAAGTCCTACATAACCATATATGCCTTGACGAGGAGAAGACGGCCACACGGAGATTAAAAATACCGAGCAAACACGGTATGTCGACTATCTCACCCGAAAGGGGAGCACAGATGCAACTGACCCTCATTGGGGTGACGACATTCAACGCAGAAGGCCACCTACATGTACAGACAACGTCCAGACTGTCAAGGCAGTGAGAGAAAAAAAATCGATCGGTCCAGGGAGAACTAATTCTGCAGTTTGTTCGAAATTCTGGCCAATTTTTTGCGTCAATCTCTTTGCTAGTGGAGAGTCAGTAAGGCCCTCTGAAAAGTCAGCCACCTCATTTAACTGGTTCGGTGAACTTTTCATATTTCTAAAATTATGGACACCGGTCGCTTACATTTGTTATCCTGAAGTTTTCTGAATATGACGTCAGGTTCAATTTGAAGAGGTGTGAAACCCATTATAGACTTAGGAATCTAGCTTAGTTTCGCGCACAGCTAACAGCTTTACTTCTAGCTGCGTAAAAAGCTGTCTTCAGTAGAGGGGGGGTAAGTCATCTGACAAAAGTTGGCGGTATGAAAGAGATCTTTGAGCTTAGAGTTTTTGTCCAAATACGGATCAAAAATATATAAATGGACTTCGCATCTGCCCGCAAAACCTGTTTATGCTTTGAAAATACGCAATAATTGCAATGGTAGGCAGTCGATATGTCACCGGTTTGTTTATTTTCTCAAACAAAGGGCAAGCTTTCTAGCAAATTAGGATATCTAAATGCAAGGATGAGCTTCCACAGCAGTTACTGTTCCCGACGGAAGCCGAGAGTATAGTGAGCCCACGGTTCAATTGTTTGGGTTTTGGACATATAAAGTCTTAAGCACCAAAATACTCAAGTTCAAGCCCAAGTTGCCTCAAACCTGGGGTTTAGTAAGACGGATTGACTACGGGCAAGGAGTTAGGAGTGTCCGACTTATACCCCATACCCCTGCCGATAATCTCATTCTGCATATAATCCTAGCCGTTGTGTGGCTACGTGCGGGCCCTTGATCGAGACCGAAAACACAGCCGCATGAGGATATCTCGTAGCCCGATAAGTGGCCTCACTTCCACCATAGTCAGCGCTTATAATTGTGAGTGGCATTAGTGAAATATTTGTTCAAGGATTGTGAATCGTTTAGCATACTGGGATGTGTCACATACAGAAGTGGGGAAGGCTATAAAGATCAATTTAAGTTGAGCCATTAAAGTGGAAATGCCCTTCAAAATTGACCCCGATTCCCTTGACAAGGCGATAAGCACGCCAGTCTGCCATGGAGGTTAATAAACACCAAATCTATTTATATACACCAGTAGACTAAATGTGGCATTAGAAGCAGTAATGAAACCTAAGAGTGTGATTTCTATGACTGGTCGGCTTCTTCTTTGAAAATACCTGTTAAATGTCCGTTAGAGACGTTTCCTTTTTTTTGAGAAATTGGATTTATTGCCGTGTATGCTGCATCATATTGCTCTGTACTCGTCAATATGGCACAACATTATCAGCTAAACACATACATAGGGATTCGAGTATTACGAAAATCACATAAAAAGGACGAATTTAAGTTGAAGCCCGCTCTCAAGTTGGGTCATACTTCCACATCGAGGAGTCCAACAGCCAAATTGAGATGGAAGTTGATATATACAATCATCTTTTTACCTTTACGGTTTTACCGACTCCTTCAAGAATGCAGGTCGACTCTTGGCAGTACGAACATTAAGAATATGAATGTTTAAAGCGTAGTCACCAGTGATCAGTACGATCACTTTTTAATTTCCCAGAAATTAAACAATAACCTGGAGTAAATTAGGTGGCAAGGTTTAGTTCTGCAGTCCCATTTGGTTTATAATACATGATAAGATATCTAAGAAAATTTTGGCAGATGCGAATAAGCTGATTTAACAAATATTGCACTTTTGCACCCTCCTCATCAAATTAATTCAGCGAGTGACTGTCCCACGAGGGTAGAATGTTTCTAGGCCGGCCACGGCTTCGAGCCCTGCTTGCGCCTATTTATTATCTTAATCCCCCGAGCGGCTACGTAGACTTGCTAATGGAAGTGCTGAGATAGTGCGAAACTTTGTCGGTTCCACTAGGATGGCCCTGAACTGTGGATTACCACGCGACCCCCTCTGTGGCCTTCTCGTTGGGATTGCAACCCTTATGCTACTATTCCAGCGAATAGCTGTGTCGCGGGGTAATGTGTACACGCCACCTTCACGAGCTTCTCTGCAAGTGCTTCGAGCATACCTTGTGCACTCTGTCCCTGCCTAATCACGCATTGGTTAAATTAGGTATGAGGTAATTTAAATAATATTGGTTTAGTAAGCTAACCAAATGGCATCATTCAAATGGAGCTACAGAACCAAACATTGCCAATAATTTTATGTTAAGCACACCGAAAACTCGGTGTATAAATACTTGAGCCGAAATCCAACAGCAACAGCGGCATAACAGTTTAATATTAATTAGCTGCTGACAGGCAGCTAGTTGTATATTTTGTGTTACAAGATACAACAGTAGCACCATATGTAATAGCTACAGGCTCAGATACGCGTGTTGTGCCGATATTCTGCCACTACTTGTCACAGCCTCAAGGATTTCGGGTCATCAGTGGACTTTGTGACATCAGAGTATACTACTAACTGCCTCTCGGCTGTTACTTAGTATTGCGGGGATATGTCGATGTGGCTGATGGGTGTCTTCTCAAATATCCATGATACGATTTTGGTCTTCGCCTATAGACCTTCGTTTCAAATGATTTTCTCCAAGTCAGCATTTATCGTCTTGGAAGTTTAAATTCATCAATTTCTTAACTAGCATATCTGCCAGAAAGCACACGGGGGTTGTTGGGGGATTAAATAACGAGTCAAACGAGGCACATGTGTGCCGTGAAGCGACAGAATGTCGTACAACACGCAAATCTGGACTTTTAGTTTTTACCTCAGCTGTGAGTATTGCATCTTACATCACTGAATTTCATTAGAATGTTCCGCTATGACATAAAAGGCGAGAACGTCTTTTGCTTGTACTGTAAATTGGATAAAGACGACCAAATTTCCTGGTTTTGTCCGGAGGTGCATGTATGTCATAACGAGTGTTCGATTAAGAAATGTTTGGTCGTGGCAGAGTGGGACTAGAGATTTCGGGATGCCTGCTGTTGGTCTCTTCATTTCCACCCTCTTGCTGGTGTTGGTTGTTGGCTTTCAGAGTTTCTCTGCCCTTGCTTACATGCACAATAAATGCGTCCCAGCAAAGTGTTGCACTATCACTATCTACCCTCTTGCACAATGAGCATAAAGGCAAGACTAAAAATATCCATTTTTCTTCGGGATTTCCATTTCGAAGAAGAAGCATGCGTAGGTGGTATTGTTTACCATCTGCTCTATACTGCACCCCACGTCGATCAGGTGCCCCATCATTGTGCCCTTGAACTGCCCAAATAATTCCTCCGATTATTTTTGTGGAATATCTCGCGAAAAAAACTGGAACAGTGCGACCTCTCATAGTCAGCATTCGGGAACACCTATGCCGTGTTTTCAAGGCAGTATATATATATATATATCCTTCTCTAGCGTCGGCAAACGTGAGAGGAGACTTCACCTGCAATTAACAATGCTCCGTATTTTCTACGTGTTTGTTTTAATCCATTTATCATACGGTTGCTTTAAATGGAATAGTAAGTCCCTAAAACATTTTACAACTGTTGCTATAATTATCTGAAATGAGAATTTTGTGTAAAAATGGGTTTATATGGCGTTTTTTAAAATTCGTAAGCATCCGTGTTCTGACTTTTATGAAAGTTTGGCTTGTTCTTTCTTGAATTTATAATATTCTTAGGAGTTTTACAGCCCACCTAATGCATATGTGTTAGAGTGCCGTTTCAGTAACACAGTATAGGTCATGAGATGTAATTCGCACTTAACACGCGCTTGTGTTTTCAAGAAACTTTTGATTGGTAGGTAAAATGACAGCAATGGTGGTTACGCTTTTATCAAAACACATATTTTGTAGGGTCAAACCGATCAAAATGTTGATAAGTTTAATTGAAGTTTTTGAAAATGAGAAAATAGATAGTTTTTCGATAAATTCGCTCTCCTTTTTCGGGAAAAATAGGTCTAGTAGAGTAAGACATTTTAGCATTCAAAATGCATGAGTTTAACTCCAGAATCTTGGTAAATTTTTGGAAGAATATGGTAGGCAGTTTGAAATCATATGGTAAATGCTTCCTGCTAACTGTGAGTTTGAATTGCAACTGCGTACTTGGAGTTGCAAAACCACGCGAAAACAGATAATTCTGATAAATTGAAATGAGGCTGCATTATAAGAAACGTTTAAGTCCACATTATGCACAAACACACTGCGCATCATGAAAAACGCATAGTTTAATCAAGGATGTATTCCCATCTGAACTGTGGTAAACCCAGAGCAGGTTACTGTTGGGTATATGAACCAGTCTTTAAAGTAAATTGAGGAGACGGTCGGTTACAGATAACCCAGTGCGCAAACGGGGTGAAGGCCAAGTAACCAATTGCATAATTTCACAATAGGCCGGACTGTCTGGTATAAGATAAGCCTAAGTTATTTTTATATAATACGTGATATCGACCATTGCGCAGGATAATAGGTAGAGATTTCTGTAACGTTTGGACGACAGCTTTGGAATTAGCCTCTTATTGGCCGCCTGTACAAATCACACTCAGCAAAATATAACTGCTGAATTTGGATGACTTCCGCAAATTGATTTTTGCTGGGTAGCAAATTATGCCATCTCTAAATATTTTACTTGATAACAGGGTATCTTAATTAAACTTTGCAAAACACAGGACGCGAAACATTCTCGGCAGATAAAAACTTACAAACTATCGCCTGCACAAAAATTGTTAACTCGGGATAAACAGATATAACTAGCTAATTTTAGCCAGTCATAGCCAATCCTAGGCTAACTGGACCTTAGCATCGATACCGAATTTCTTTGTCATTTAATGTGCTTATGGCCGAAGTTCAGAAAGTACACCAACGATTCGTTGTTCTGTTACTTGTGCTTGGTGTGCATATTGGCAGAACCATTCGGAAGCTGACATTCAGGAAAGCATTGTTCCAAAGCGCTTATTATTTGTGATGTGATTAGCGACAGGAAAAACGCTATAAGAAGGACCGAATCGGAAGAAAACACATGCTACTCATAGATGCAGACAAAATCAATATGCATATATGTGCCAAGTGTGGTAAGTTTAAGGTTTCTGACCCGAACATTCAGAGACTCGTGCCCCCTGCCTTGATAAGTATTAGGAAAGGAAAATGCCTTCTCGCAGAACGCTTAACCAGTATGCATACTAAGGTGCACTTCGCAGCCAAATTCTTAACAGAGTAATGGTTTACGCTCAACTGAAAAGCAAGTTGCATTGTTTGACTTTAGGGGAGATTGCCACTTTTGAAAGTCAAAAAGTATTTATCGAAATGCCGAAATATTTGTCCGTTAAAGTAAGCTACATACTTAAGGTTGTAATATCGACGAACGTGTTGCATAATCAACAGCGAACTTCCCAAGTCAGGTGTCAGGGCAACATATCCAGATGGGCAGAATCTTCCGTAATATGGGGTGCGGGGGGCAGCCTAGAGAACAACAACATCAATAATTTCAGCCCGCCGGAGTCGTGAACATGTGCCCGAAGCCCAACTTATCAGCCGCTAAGTGAAGGCAAGTGGCCAATCCGCGCCACGTTGTCGCTTTGTTGACAATCTGAGTAATTAGGAAAAATACTGCGGGCGGAAAATGTGTCTTAGGTACATCAATGACAACACCGGCAATCAAACTTGCTTAAGACCAAGATAGTACAACGTACACGAAAATCGTGCTCGTCGCCTATTGAATTACATAACAGTAAATCGGTCGGTAAATAAATGAATGGTAAATTCTCTCGAGTTCCCCAGAGTAGCTGAGAAAGAAAATTAATCACTTGAGTAGAAACTGTATCTGTAAAAATTGTCGATTATCGTCAACGCCAACCTCTTACCCATTAACAGAAATCACTTAAAAAAAGCAACAGCTTATAAGCGCATGTATACTTCCGCTCTCTCTCTCTCTCTTGATTTACTGTGTCTTCGGCTACTGAGCTGCAATGTCAGGGGTCATTTAATTTCCCCGTCAAGTCCCCCGGAATGGTTAATCGGGGGATCGGTAGGTTTAGAGATTATCCTACACCGGATAAAGGTAATAAGCCAACGTAGGGAGCGCGATTGCCTCGCTTGTTGACGGACTGCCTTGCGATGCTCGCGCGTCTTTCCTTTTTAATCAGATAATGGCCTGAGTGAAATTGAGAGCGTAAAGGCGACTCCAATTGATAGATATGTTTTTGGTTAGTGATGACTTCTCTATAGACCCTCTGAATACTATCAATATTTTAACCATTTATACAATCTTATACTTTGCAGATGATGATGACTCAAATAACAGCACCGTCGGGAATGGTTCATCTACAGCTGCACCTCCGACTTCCATGAAACCGGGGAATGCGTCCGGTAACATGGCAGCTAATGTGTCTTTTATTAAAAATTCCACAGGTGAGTTCAGATCTCACTTGTACTCTGTGATGACGCAGGCGCATGACATGAGTCAAGTGCATGCTTCAGTATATTTCAATTAGTTCATTGTGGTTAAGAAGAAAATATAGTATCTTTTGAACTAGCTAAGCCTTCGTTCGACATGCGGAATAGGCACGAAAATAATCAACAGATAGTAAGCCAAAGCGCCAGCTTGACTGACATTTCACTAATTGCAAAACTGCATGAATGTATACCGACGTCTATTTAAAAGGTCTTTTTGACTCGTCAGTCTCTCAGCAAACATTCTTACGGATTATTAGTCTAGACGTCATATGATTAGTTATTAGTAAGCAAGGCTTGGTCAGCAAATACAATAGTTACAGATGTGACCGGGATAAAAGATGGCGGAAGAATTGGTTATGTTTGATAGCGCAACCTGTGTGTTTCATCAATTCTTTCTTTTTTGCTCCTAGGCAAGGCGACTTCCAGCTCCATACGTTCTCAGTTTGGGTTGGAGTGGTTCGCTCTCTCACTGGCGGTCATGTGCTTTTTGTTTTAACTGAATTGCATTCGACCAAATACTAATGTACTGCATTCATGAAATGTCCATAAAGGTCTTCCTTCAACAGATACGGCTAATGCTTTCATCGACATATTTGGTTAATTTCTGTAGAGTGGGTTTATACTTATATTGTTAAATGGCGAAATTAACAGAGAAATATATATATATGCCTATGACAGCTACCAACGCCGTTAGCTCTCTGATTCACAATTATAAATTAAAAGGGAATTTTCTTCAAAATAAAAATGCACACTGTTCTACTTAGTGTGAGTGAATGATCATTGGGGAAGTTCTACAGACATCATTCGATACACATGTCGGTCGGCTGACAGCATATCATTCCAGGCGCAGATACCTTGACAGAGTAACCACTCAAATGTTAGGTTTTTTTGGTGTGTGTTTGTGTGAGAGAGAGAGAATGATGCGCTTAACTGTGGAATTATAAATTCCAATTGGTCAACAAAACAGGGCTCCAGTCATTGTGGACAGAATATAAGTTAACAAATGACGCAAGGGTTAAAAATTATTTTACACAAAAAGGGACATCTAATTCGAAGACAGTCCAAGTCTCGGTTTCTGTATCTTTGTCTCTTTACGCACATAATGGCGCATCAGGCATGGCAATACAGAATGATGATACGCCGATGTACAGCAAAAGTGTTGTCGAAGGCCACGACACATGGGGTTGGAGGACGTCTCAGCAAACTGGTTTTAAATGAAGGGAATCAACATCGTCATTCGGAATTGCTATAACAATATCGACTAGGAAGACATAAGAAACACGAGTTGTAGTAGAGAGTATTCAGAGGCCTTGTCTAAATCAACATAGCAAAGCAGGAAGTGTCCGGGGGACTCTAAAGAATAAGAATAAGAATGTGGGTATCAATAAAGCGCCCGGTTAAGGGTTAAGGCGCGTGGTAGGCTCGTAAACGGCTTGCATACTAAAAAGGGGATTAAAGATTTTAACGAAAATGGTTTTAATATGATGGGAAATGTGAGATTTGCTGACAAGGTAGCACCCATTTTGCTGAAAAGGATAATTCGTTGTAGAGAATGTTCAAAGTTACAGGGTTAGTAGGGGGTCGCAGTCGGAAAAACAACTCGGCTGAACTCTGATCATTCTATAAATGATTACCAACGACCAGGCTAAAACCTGGTCAAGGCCTTCATACAGAAAGAGGAGATGAGGCTGATTATTGATAGATGACCAACAAACACATCGCCAGCATACTTAACTAATAGACAATCGTTTGGAGATCTTAGATGATCAGTGTGTGAAGGAAGAGGTAAGGGAACAAGATAGAGCCTAAAAGAACTCGAGAGTCATTAGGAAGAGCAGTGTGATCTTGTTTATTAGAGTGAAAAGAACTAATTGCAGAAAGCAAAGTAATAACCGAGTCAAGATATAACCCTGCCGGGAGATCCGTACGCGGATGATTTGATAGGATGGAGATGGCGCGAGATATGATTGATGATGTAGGAATAGTAAACGAATGCACATGCGTACGCACGTCCACCATTATGCAGATGTCTTAAAAGAGAATGGACCCCAAGAGCAACCACATCATCAGCACTACGGTTGGCCTTAAAGGTACATTTTAAAGAATCGCAACAATCGTACAAAGACAAAGGTTTCGGTAGCTGTGCGCTTTCTGATCCCATAAATGCCCCTAACCGCCTCCTCCTACTCCTGCGCCTCCTAATCCTCGACCTCCTGCTCCATCTTCACCTTCACCTACCTACTACCTATTCACAGACTCCGCTTGTATGGATCAGAAAAGTATGAAAGAGAATGGTTTATAATGCCTAAGGAAACAACTTTCAGCAAGCTTCGGTAGTGGGGAAGAGCAAGCAATTTACAAACGAAGTTAGCGGACTTTTTCAGAGTAGGAGTGTTCTTGTCTGTACATCAGACGTCAGAAATCTTGAACAACCGGCCGCATATCTTCTTTTCATAAATGGCACTACTTGAGCGTGCTTGCACAAGGGAGGGATACATAAGAAAACCTTGAACTGTTAGGACATAGCCGGATTTTTTTAAACTATCGCCTTGCAAGTTCTATTGAATACTGCATACAATCGGCACGCCTAAACACACTGGAGAACATTGCAGCGGTTGCGGTGTTTGAGATATACAAGTCAAAGAAACCAATGGACTAGGATACTAGCAAGTAAAACAAATCATCCGTTTTGATTTAAGGCGTCCACATCTATTGGGCGTTTTTTGTGAACAAAATGAAAAGATACCTGAAGGCAAATGTGTTTGAACGGCGGCTCTTTTGGATGCATCGTAGGAATTATTTAGTCGAACTTGCAATGCTGAAAGTATCACCATCAAATACGTAACACATCCAGTTTAATTCGTTTTGAGAAGTCAACTTGATTGCCGGTATATATATGCTGAGCATGGCATGTACTGAAATGTCTTGGGTATTCGAGTGGAATATTCGTATTACTGTTCTAACTTATCAGATAATTCAAACGGGTTACCACCATACACTGCGTGAAGATGATCTTGGAGGGGGGACGCTTTTAATCGCCTAGTTGTTATCTCCTACTCAGAATGTGACAAAGGCTAGAATAGGCACATGTCATGTTTCACAACTAAATGAGAATTCATACGCATTTGCACGTCTGAGACAAATGCTTACCGAATTCAACGTTCATGCTCAATTTTGACGGAACAGTTTGCTGTGTTTGATTTAAGAGTAGATTGCTAAATTGGAAAATCAGAAAGCACTGATTTTAATGCTGGTATGTGTTAACAGTAAAAGGATGTTTGTTTTTTCAGGTCAAGAAAGTACAATGCAAACACGAATCCCATCTGCCACCTACTTGATCATGATTCGGACCAAACCACGCACCTAAATGACTCTGCGTCCTTCCGCATACGTGAGGAATGTGGATTAAATTAATAAAAACTTCAAATAAATATTGCCAGAATCACACTACAAACAGCAAACAACCAACTGCAAATCATAACAAAATCTCACGAGATCCGGGGTAAAGTAGGCGGGCTAAGTCATAAAATCTCAACAGAAATTCCGAAACGCGTTTCTTTTCGAACAGATTAATTAAGTAGGGTTGTAAAAATAGTCAGCCTGCAGCATAATTTTCTAATATTTCAGCTACCTCGGGATGCCAACTTTCAAAAGAACTTCCTTCCGGTCGGAAGCAAGACAACACTCTGTAAAAATGACTACCTAAGTACCATGATTTGTCTCATGGATTGTCGATGTCCCTAAAAGTCCGATTTTATTTCATGGAAAACATGCATAAAGATGTTAATTTTTTTGCTCATTCGGTGGACAATCTCGCCTTCTTTTAATTTTATACTCTGAGGAGACACATGATTCGGTTTAAAAAAAAGTTTCCAATTCCCGAATAATTTTGAATCCGCTCCACCTTCACACCGTCACCTCCACATACCCACCCCCATACTCTCACCTCCCGCTTGTAAGGAAGGACGGGCCGTGGTCGATTTCTCTTACTCGTCACACGATCAATTTTTCCACCTCGTTCCGATATAAATTGACTGGCCCTGCGAGAATTTATGGAAAGCAGACGTACGCTCGCCAAATGGTTTTCTGAATATGGGAAATTTAAAGAGCTCGCAGGATCAGTGAAATTGGATGCCTGACATATTAGAGGGCTTGGCCGGCTCTCCAGGCAACAATACGTCGCCGTTTGATGCAATCTCAAAGACACATTGCCATCTACGGGAACCTCAGCAGTTGTCTATCAAATACGTTGCAACGATAGAGACTGCAATTACGTTGAGGAAACTGGACGGAAATTGCAGACCCGCCTATATGTGCGCAAAATGGTCAACTCGGAGACTAGAACTAAACTTACAGCTTGTTAATAACAGCAAGAAAACTGACCAAAGTTTTTCATTTAAGGAGCAACAGTCTCAAGCCGGGGCACCTCAAACACAGAATGTCTCACACTTATGTCTTTGTACTCTGATGTCAACTCCGTCAACATGCATCTAGACCTTCCTACCGGCTAATAAAGAAGTACGTCGCTACACGCATAACGACCAGGACATGACGGGCACATGGAGTTGAAAAATAACGGGCAAGCACGGTCTGTCGGATATCTTACTCGAAAGGGGAGCGCAGGTGCAACCGACCCCCATTGTGATGACTACATGCAAAACAGAAGGCCGCCTTCATTCACAGACAACGGCCGGACTGTCAAGACGGTTATAGAAGAAAAACCGATCGGCACAAGGCTAACTAGTTCGGCCGTGTGTTCGACATTCCGGTCGATTTTTGAACAAAACGACCTGATGATGGAGAAGTTGCCAAGCCGTCCAAAACGTCAGCCAATCTAATCAACTGATCCGGTGAGCGCGTCATATTTTCTCAGATGACCGACACAGATCTCTTATATTTTATAACCTAAGGTCTTCTGCATGTGACCTTACTTTGAATTTGAAGAGGTGCGGCACTCATTATGAACTATGAAAATCTATGTAACTTTCACGCATAGCAAACAGTTACACACAAAACGGTATTTCTTAGAGGAGGGTCACTCATCTGACAAAAGTTGACGGTATGACAAACATCTTTGAATTTAGAGATGTGGTCCAAATATGAGTCGAATCCATGTAAATGGACTTTGCATCTGCCCGAAAAAACATGTTAAGACTTTAAAGATATGTAATAATTCCAATAGTAAACTGTTGATATGTCACCGGTTTGTTTATATTCTCAAAGAAAAAGCAAGTTTACCAGTAAATAAAGATATTTTCAAGTTTAATGAGCTTCCACAATAGTTACCGTTCCAGATAATGACTTCTCGACTAAATAGTTTGAGGTTTTCACACATTAACACGTCATCAGCTATATAACCCATGTCCACCTCCGAACGGCCAAACCTGGGTTTCGCAGGGTTGTCGGACTAAGGGTGATGTGTTGGAAATGACCATCTTACTCTCGTATATCTATGCCGGTACTTCTATTCTGCATAAAATACTAGCCGTTGTGTGG